ATCGATATAGAAGAGTATCGAATATTCGAGTTTCACAGAGAGACGGACTATATAAAAACAAGCGCAGATAGCAAATATCGCGATTTGGGCATTTTGGATTTATCTGTTCAAAAAAACAGATCTTGAGGCCTGGATCAAGGACGATTTCAACAATTTCAACAATAATAAAAATGCTAAGACCGGAACTAATAATTATCAATTAATTGATAGAAAAAGTTTTTTTTATCCTAAGATTTGTCAAGATTAAAACCTCAATTATATTGCGTTTTCGGAATCTAAATCGAAACCGATGGTTTTAAATTCACACAAAGCAAAACACAACTTTTGGTGGGATTGGATGGAAATGAATGAAGATACTCCTATATCGAATCTGGAACCTTGGTTCTTCCCACAATTGGTACTATTTTTTAATGCATATAAACCTAAGTCGTGGTTTATACCAAGCAAATTGCTTTTGTTGACTTTTCCTTTTTATAGAAAAAAAAGGGGATCTTATAGAAAAACGAAATATAAAAATCTTAAAAAGAGAAAGAAAGAGGAAGAAAAAACGAAAAAGGAAAAACCACTAGCGGGGGACGCTACGTTTTTTTCCTTCATGCGTAGGTCAAGAAATTCTATAAAGGAAACCGAATACGATAAATATACTCGAAAATTTCTTAGAGAAAGTTTAAATGATGTACCAACCCCCCAAAAATTTGCTGATAAGTACAGGTACAAGATAGGCCGAGAGAACTTGAAAAGGAAAGAGATCCTGCAAGAGTTGTTCTTTTTTCAAAGGCACCCAACTGTTCTCGAGGAATACGTAGGGCTAAGAACTATGTTCGCATATAATACGCTGTTTAAGCTGAAAGATCCACTGGACTTTTTTTCATACGCTATTGAAAGGAAAAAAATCAATGTGAAGGGACTAACGCGACCGCAGAGCGAGGGTATTAAAATCTGGAGTAAGCGGGGGGGGGCTGATGTGTGTCGAACCCCTTCGTCTGTCTGTAACAAATAATAGCCAGTTTATTATGTATCAAATCATAGCTAGTTAATTACTTCATAGGAGTAAGCGGCAAACTAATGAAAGATACCAAGAGAAACCATATTATTCCGATGACTCGAATGATTTGTATTATTTGAAGAAGATAATTAAATGCCGTTATCGAAGACAAACTGGGAATCTCTACATCAATCATTATGATTTGCTTATTCCTGAAAATTTTTTATCGTCTAGACGTCGTAGAGAATTGAGAATTCGAAATTGTTTCTATTTAAAAACTGGGCTGGGTATAGTGTGGATAGAAATCTAATATTTAGCAATGAGAGCAAGGGAGAATATTGTGGTCAATATAGAGATCAAGTCCTAAAATGCAAATTTTTTCTTTGGCCTAATTATCGATTCGAAAATTTAGCTTATATGAATCGCTATTGGTTTGATACTAATAATGGCAGTCGGTTCAGTATGGTTAGGATATACATGTAACCACGATTGAAAATTAGTTGATGATACATTTTTCCTATATATCCTGTACCATATCTGGTATCTGAAAGCAAACAGATGTACATATGACTTGTCTTACATCTGATTCTAATATAGGAGACTAATCCAATGACGTATCAATTAGATCTAAAAATGAATCAAGAAAATCTTCTTCATTTTCGATTCCAATTTTTAGCTTTTGAAAATGAAAAAATGGACTATTCTTTTGTATCCCTATCCGAATCCAATTTTCAATTGGATTGATTCATTTTATCACATAAAATTAGGATTCCACTAGAATTGGCAGTATTCAATCCGATCTGATAGTATGGTAAAAAGAAATATATGAATCGTTTTTTCTACCATACTCTCTATTAGTATAGTATTATTAGAAAATATTCTATTATTATTCTAAAAGATTCCAAAATTTGTGTATACCAAATAAAAATAACTGGCATCTTAATTTGGAATCGCGTGGCAATTACTTTGACGTTAAAATCATGATATAATCATCCGGTTAAGATCGATCTAAACCATCCTATTATGTATACGATTCAACATGTTATGGATAAAATTCGCAAAAAGCCTATTCCTTCTGGTCCTAGGGATTCTGTGCTTGAAAAAAACCAGGGTCATCTCGTTCAAATCATTGATCCGGTACTAGATGTAGCCTTTCCGGCGGACAAGATGCCTAAGGTTTATAACGTTCTGTTAGTTCAAGGTCGAGATACTGTCGGTCAACCAATTAATGTGCGTTGTGAAGTACTGGCATTACTAAGAGACAATCGAGTTCTAGCTATACCTAGAGCTAGATTGTCTTCATATCGTCGTCTAATGATAGGAATGAAAGTATTTGACACGGGAGCTCCTCTATATACTGAGCAGCAGATAGAAGAGGCTATTGAAAAAGAAATGAAAATGACAGTAGTACAGCTTAAACCCCCTTATTTCGGTTTCGATGACAGCGTATTCATCAAGCCGTCGTCGTGTGTAGCGAGTAAGGCAATAAGGTTTCTGTTAGTGCTATACTTTGTC